TTCCGGAAAGACCGCTGCATATGCCCTTCCTATAATTCATGTTAGTATTATTTTAGGCTTATATCATTTTTAGCGTCTTATAGAAAATCCTAAAACATATTTTGCTGTTGTTTTTACTCCAACCAGAGAGTTGGCAATCCAGGTCCAATCTCAGTTTATTGCCATTGGGAAAACGATTGGCTTGAACTGCTCCTTGCTTGTTGGGGGTATCCCGATTGATGAGCAGTCTAAACAATTAAGAATGAAACCACCCCATGTTATAGTTGGTATGCTCTTTTTACAATTATTTTAGCGACACCTGGGCGATTTATGGACCATGTTAATAGGACAAAAGGATTCGATGAGCTCAAATTCACTTCCTTGAATTTCCTTGTTTTTGATGAAGCAGACAGGATACTTGGATCTGATTTTTTAACAGTTATCGAGAAAATACTTTTTTTTATGCCTCGTGGCCGTCAAACCTTGCTTTTTTCCGCTACAATGACAGATAAGGTGGGTGCTTTATGCTTTTTAATTCTTCCATTTATGTCTCGTTTCTTTATTTTTTGAGTGAAATTTTCTGCCAGATATGCAATCGACAAAATCAGCCGTTTGACATCACTATGCTTGCTAAAAATTATCTTCATAGATGAATTTGTCTAACGAAAGCCATGCTTCGGGCGTCTCCTTACATGGCATTACTCAATCTGACGTTTTAAGCTTAGTTGCATTCCCGTATTGGCCTTATTTATACTTTTCAATAGCGGCAATATTCAGTAAATGTTATGTATTTAACCTTCACCTCTAGTGTACTTTAAAATATTTATTATGTAGAATCACCATTAAGTTAGAAGACTGAAAATATTGTTTAATCTTCTCTTGCTAGCAATGTCAGCCGCTTGAGTTGCTTCTTCAATAAATTTAAAATACTAATATAAACATGTATTCGCATGGGCTGAATCGCTTATTGAAATTATCTTTTTTATATTCTATATCGAATTTCCTATTCTAAATCACGCACAATTTTACTTTGTAATCAAGATTTCGTTTTTAAACAACACTATAAATCATCTAGTAAATCCGATAGCTAGTTAAGATAACAATATTATTTTAATCTAAGGTATCAATACCAAGATAGTGTGGCCTTTTGTGTAGTCGCAGTCTCCTTTAGTTGTATAGAAGTTGAATGTTTTCGCATCTTGGTCATATTGGTAGGAAGAATTAGAGGAACGCACCTTGTCCTGAGTCCATTGTATGCATAATCATTTCCAAAGTCGGACCGTGGACGTG